ACACAGAAAGCAGCTTTATATTTCTTTGTGCGCTGCTGGCTATAGGTCAGTGGAGTGGCCAAACATGGCTGTACTCATGTCAAGACACAAACAGAATTCAGCAGCATATTAAAAGAATTATACACCATGGCCAAGTGGGATTTATTCCTGGAAGGCAAGGATGGTTCAATACATGAAAATTGATCAGTGTAATATGCCACATTAATATAATGAAGGAAAAAAACCACATGATCATTTCAATTGATGCAGAAAAAGGATATGCAGAAAAAGCATTTGACAAAATTCAACACCCTTTCACGATTAAAAAACAAAAACACTCAACAAACTAGGAATAGAAGGAAAATACCTCAACATAGTAAAAACCATATGTGAAAAACTGACAGCAAACATCATACTCAATGGTGAAAGACAAAGTGCTCCCTCTAAGATCAAGAACAATACAAGGCGGGCTGGCCCCGTGGCTTAGCCGTTAAGTGTGCGCGCTCTGCTGCTGGCGGCCCGGGTTCCGATCTTGGGCACGCACTGAAACACTGCTTGTCCGGCCACCCTGAGGCGGCGTCCCTCATATGGCAACTAGAAGGATCTGCAACTATGACATACAGCTATCTACTGGGGCTTTGGGGAGAAAAAGGGAAACAAAGGAGGAGGATTGGCAATAGATGTTAGCTCAGGGCTGGTCTTCCTCAGCAAAAAGAGGAGGATTGGCATGATGTTAGCTCAGGGCTGATCTTCCTCAGGAAAAAAAAGAAAAGAACAATGCAAGAATGCCTGCTTTCACCACTTCTATTCAACGTAGTACTGGAAGTCCTAGCCAGAGCAATCAGGCAGAAAAAGAAATAAAAGGGATCCAAATTGGAAAGGAAGAAGTGAAACTGTCACTATTTGCAGATGACATGATTTTATATAGAGAAAACCCTAAAGAATCCACCAAAAAACTTGTAGAAGTAGTAAATGAATACGGTAAAGTTGCAGGATACAAAGTCAACACACAAAAATCAGTTGTGTTTCTATACACCAGCAATGAAGTAGCAGAAAGAGAAATTAAGAATACAATCCCATTTACAATTGCAACAAAAAGAATAAAATACCTAGGAATAAGTTTAACCAAAGAGGTGAAAGATCTGTGCACTGAAAACTATAAAACATTTTTGAAAAAATTGAAGAAGACACAAAGAAATGGAAATATAATCTGTCTTGGATTGGAAGAATTAACGTAGTTAAAATATCCATACTTCCTGAAGCACTCTATAGATTCAATACAATCCCTATCAAATTTCCAACAACGTTTTTCACAGAAATAGAACAAAGATCCTAAAATGTATATGGAGTAACAGAAGACCCCGAATAGCCAAAGGAATCCTGAGAAAAAAGAACAAAGCTGGAAGTATCAAACTCCCTGCTTTTGAAATATACTACAAAGCTATAGTAATGAAAACAGCATGGTACTGGTACAAAAACAGACACACAGATCAATGGAACAGAATCGAGAGCCCAGAAATAAACCCACACATCTATGGACAGCTAATTTTTGACAAGGGAGCCAAGAACATACAATGGAGAAAGGAAACTCTCTTCAATAAATGATGTTGGGAGAACTGGAAAGCCACATGCAAAAAAATGAAAGTAGACTATTATCTTACACCATACACAAAAATTAACTCAAAATGGATTAAAGACTTGAATGTAAGACCTGAAACCATAAAACTTCTAGGAAAAAACATAGGCAGTACACTCTTTGACATTGGTCTGAGCAACATAGTTTCAAGCACCATGTCTGACCGGTCAAGGGAAACAATTGAAAACATAAACAAATGGGACTACATCAAACTAAAAACCTGCACAGCAAAGGAAACCATCAACAAAATGGAAAGACAACCTAACAATTGGGAGAAGATATTTGCAAACCATATATCTGATCAGGGGTTAATCTCCAAAATATATAAAGAACTCATACATCTCAACAACAAAAAAACTGACAAGCCCATTAAAAAATGGGCAAAAAAACCTAACAGACATTTCTCCAAAGAAGATATACAGATGGCCAACAGACACATGAAAAAATGTTCAGCATCATTAACTATCAGGGAAATGCAAATCAAAACTACAATGAGATATCACCTCACTCCTGTCAGAATGGCTATAATTAACAAGACAGAAAACAACGAGTGTTGGAGAGGATCTGGAGAGAAGGGAACTCTCATAGACTGCTGGTGGGAATGCAAAGTGGTGCAGCCACTATGGAAAATAGTATGGGGATTCCTCAAAAAATTAAGAATAGAACTACCTTACAATCCAGCTATTCTACTGCTGGGTATTTATCCAAAGAACTTGAAAACACAAATGCGTAAAGATACATGCACCCCTGTGTTCATTTCAGCGTTATTCACAATAGCCAAGACTTGGAAGCAACCTAGATGCCCATCAAGCGATGAATGGATAAGGAAGATGTGGTGTATATACACAATGGAATACTACTCAGCCATAAGAAACGACGAAATGCAGCCATTTGTGACAACGTGGATGGACATTGAGGGTATTATGCTAAGCTAAATAAGTCAGAGGGAGAAGGTCAAATACCATGTGACTTCACTCATAAGTAGAAGATAAAAGCAACAACAAACAGGGGCCGGCCCCATGGTGCAAGTGGTTAAGTGTTCGTGCTCTGCTGCGATGGCCCGGGGTTCGCCAGTTCAGATCCCAGGCACGCACCGATGCACTGCTTGGCAAGCCATGCTGTGGTGGCGTCCCATATAAAGTGGAGGAAGATAGGCACTGATGTTAGCCCAGGGCCAGTCTTCCTCAGCAAAAAGAGGAGGATTGGCAGATGTTAGCACAGGGCTGATCTCCTCACAAAAAAAAAAAAAAAGCAACAACAAACAAACACATAGAGACAGAAATCAGATTGGTGGTTACCAGAGGGGAAGGGAGGAGGGAGGAAGGCGAAAGGGATGATTAGGCACATGTGTGTGGTGATGGGTTGTAATTAGTCTTTGGGTGGTGAACATGATGTAATCTATGCAGAAATAGAAGTATAATGATGTACACCAGAAATTTATATAATGTTATAAACCAATGTTACCACAATAAAAAATTAATTAATTAATTAAACAAAATAAAGTAAATAAAATACTCAAACTCGAAAAAAAATAACTACAATGGGATACCACCTCACACCCATTGTAATGGCTACTATCACAAAAAAACAGAAAACAACAAGTGTTGGTGAGAAATTGGAACTCTTATGCCCTGTTGGTGGGAATGTAAAGTGGTACAGGTGCTGTGGAAGACAGTATGGCAATTCCTCAAAAATTTAAAAATAGAATTGCCAAATGATCCAGCAATTCCACTTCTGAGTATATACCCAGAAGAATTGAAAGCAGGGTCTCAAAGAGGTATTTGTACACCTGTCTTCATAGTAACATTATTCACAATAACTAAAATGTGGAAACAACTCAACTGTCCATCAATGCATGAATGGGTAAAGCAAAATGGGGTATATCCATACAATGGACTATTATTCAGCCTAAAAAGGAGGGAATTTCTGCAATAGGCTACAACACAAATGAACCTTGAGGACATTATGCCAAGTGGAATAAGTCAGTCACAAAAAGGCAAATACTGTATGATTCCATTTATATGAGGTACTTAGAGTAGTGAAAATCATAGAGACAGAAAGTAGATGGTGGTTGCCAGGGGCTGCAGGGTGGGGAGAATGGGAAGTTTTATTGTTTAATGAGTGGAGAGTTTCAGTTTTGCAAGATAAAAAGAGTTATGGGGATGCATAATGGTAATGGTTGCACAACAATGTAAATGTATTTAATACCACAGAACTGTACATTTAAAAAGGTTAAAGATGGTAAATATATTATGAATATTTTACTGCAATAAAAAAAACTTACCAAGAGAAAAAACTTATATAAAGATATTCTTAGAATATTGACTTGATTTCCTATATACGTGGAGGTTTAAGTGGTTAAAATTCTTTAAATATTATTTTGATTTACTTAGATTATATCAGAAACGGTAGGAGCTGACCTTGGGTATTATCTGTAATTGATATCTGATCAGACCTATTAAATATTATAGAGACCCAGTTAAATCACATAATGGATTTCTATATCTTTTCTTGAGTGTGGAAATTATGTTCTTTGTTTTCCTTTAGTGATTTCTCTTGGTGGAACAGTCCAAATAGAGGGACTTGAACTTTGTGTTGATGGTCACTTTCCTCACCCACTACATTGAAGCAGCCTTACTTTGCAGAGAGAGTGGGAAGAAGTATGAAATAAAACTCTGGCAGCAAATTTATTTCTAATGTTATCCTTATGTTTTCAAAATGTGAATCCAGAACGATTCAGACCCTAAAACGTTCTCGTATTAAACCCTGTTGCAAAATATTACTAGGCAGAGGAGCAGCGGTACAATATTAACATCAAAACTGGAATTTACTTTTCAAAATTTAAATACAGCTTGATTTAAACCTAAGGACAAAATGTCTTGATAAACATCAAGAAGGAAGTGTTTTCATACTTTATCTTTAAAAAGGAGAACGTACAAGGAGGGTGCACTTGAGAATTTTGGTATGATTTGGGAGTCTTTCTTGGACACATAGAATACATATTTTTACGTTTTTAAGTAATGCCTGAGACTCTTGAATTGCAAAATTCTGTGGAAAATAACATGATGGCATTTGTATGTAAATCTGAAACTATACTTATGTGTTTTTATGTATGAATTTGAATGAATATTAAAAACAAAATATTTTTTCCGTTTTCCTTGCTATTTCTGTAGCAAGTTTGTCTTGTAAAGATTCTTCTATAACAGTCCTCACAGTCTTCCCCTAAGAACCTCCAATCTTAATATACCTCTCCAATGAAATAAACACTTCATCTTTAAATGCATTTTGTCACAAGTGACAAAGAATTTTCTGTTAGAAATTTGAAACCTAAGATTTTTATTTTGTAAGAAAGTTCATTTCAATTTGGTTAATTTCATTTCTTTAGAGCCTCCTAAATTCTTGCCCATATCATCAACACCCCAACCAGAGAGACGGCAGCCACCCCAGAGACGACATTCCATTGAAAAGGAAACGCCTACTAACGTGAGACAGTTTTTGGCACCATCCAAGCAGAGCTCCCGATCTCTTGTAAGTAACTGAAAGACTGCGTAGAAACATACGGATCAGTTAGGGGACCTAGAATCATTAGCTTTTTTAAGAAGCTTCCAGAAGTTAGAATGAACTTTAAATAACCATATTTGTTTGTAATAGTTAAAGAAAACCAACCCTAACAGTAACCCAAATGAAATTTGACCACTCTTTACTCATTTAAAGTACTTTTTTTTCAGACGATTTATCAATGTTTGAAAGTATGGATTGTTATTAAAGAAATGCTTTCTTCCTTTCAATGGGTATTACTCCACTTCAGAATTGTTAAAACTAATCAAAAAACTTAGCAAGGTCTGACTACAGTAGACTATTTTATTGAGGCAGAAGTACAAGGGGAGACTTTTGATGCATTAAAAATCATTGTTCATTGTTTTCAGGTACAGTCATGCACTGAATAACTACATTTGGTCAACAATGGACCATGTATATAATGGTGGTCCAATAGGATTAGTACCATATAGCCTAGGTGTGTAGTAGGCTATACCATCTAGGTTTGTGTGAGTACACTCTATGATGTTCGCACAATCACAAAATCGCCTAACAACGCATTTCTCAGAATGTATCCCTGTCATTAAGTGATGTGTGACTGTATGTTTTGTGTTACTGGAGCTGAAGCTACTATTTGGACTGGTTGACAGTTTTTGCTGTTTTCCAGAGACTTCCAGGTTCATGTAGTATCTACTCATTTCTCAGAACAGTAGGATATAGTATACAAGACCCTGCCAGGAAGAAGTAATAGTTCCACCAGCCAAAGCAGGTCTGTAAAGATTCTTTTGTAGTCTCACTTGACTTCAGAAATATTTGCAGGCGAAATGCAAGGCTTCAATCAGTAATTCCATCAGCAACCTAATGTTTAATGTTTTTTCAGATACTCGTGAATAAAAAACAGTGGAATATGCTTAATCCATATTTTTAGGCTGTGATGAATCATCAAGGGTTCAAATGAAGCAATAATAGATGTCCCTTCTTCAAAGTAGAGGGAGATATTGTGGTTATTGTGAAGATACTGAGTTTGAACAGGGCTGATAGTGTTGAAATTTGATCAGTCATCTCTATTCCCAAACAGTAAGATTAAAGAACTAATGATTTTATGGCAATTCCTGATAGGATTCCTCTTACTCCTAAATAATCACCAAAATACTGATATTTGATGAAATATAGCCTCATCCGTGGTTTACCAACTGAAAAACAGAACTCTAACCTACAGTTTCAAACTTTAAAATGCAAAGACTTTTGTTAATGTGAATAAGTTATTGCTTTAGCAAAATATACAGTTATTGTCATAAAAATATGTAAGAGAGAGCTACTTTGTGATTTTTTTTCACAAGTCCCATAATTCGGAGATTCTTCTCTTCACATGGCCTTTCCTAGAAGCCAGTTTATCATTCAGCTGTATACCTGGCCTTGTGATCATATAGCATGATTGTTAAAGTTAGACTTAAATTATATTTAAAAATTATCAATGTGAAGGAACTGTCAGATCAACTACAAAGGAGTTTTAGCTGGTAATAGAAGGTTTGCCAAGAAAGACCATCAGCCCACATCAAGGGCCCATGAAGTACATTTCCTGGCGAAGGGGGATTTTTTAGTGTGTTCTTGGCCAGGCTGTGAGATGTTTTTTGTGGAGAAGGAGAGCAAGATAAAACCAATCTGCAGTAACAGAGAAGGGTCTCAGTGAAAAGGCAGTGGGAGAGCGCCTCTGGTCAGTGCTGGATGGTGTTCGGGTTCCACGTAGAACTCTGCCCCCTCGAGGTGCCCCTAGGCACCAGCTGAGACAGAATAACATCCAGGTCAAAGTAATAACTTTTCTTGCTGTGAGCTTATCTTGGGAAATCCATAAAATCACACTTGTGATAGTGCCCTCTAGTTTGGTAAGTATTATTTTAAAAAGTATGATAATTAGTTAAAAATTTTATCTATATTTTAGAAAACAAGAAATCATTTTGTATTTATAACCCCTCAACTGAAAATGGTGGAAATCTCTGTGTTATTATTCGTTTTTATTTTTATTGTATCTCCCTCCCTTTCCTTAGGATGTTTAAAATGTAATTTTTTTCATCATTTGGTCAAATGATTGAGGGTGATTGCCAAAGAGAAGATGCCTTTAAGTACCTTCCCCAGGGGGAGCGAGCACCTGCTTGGGGTACATTCCCACGCTTTCCCAAGCAGAATAGGCAGTTGCCTCTGTCCTGCTTCCCAGCGAGCCCCAGTCCTGAGACTCAGTGTTCACAGGACAACCAAGGTAGAAAAATCTAAAGTTTAAGTCTTTGCTGTGTGAACTCTGAGGTTCTCTAGGAATGACTTCATGGTTTATTACCAATTTATACATATGGATGCAGATGGCGTGGACACGCATATGGAATCTACTGTTAATGTCTTCCATGGTGTTTTTGTTTTGTTTTGTTTTTCTTTCATGCTCTGTAATCACTATTTATAGGTCACTCATGTTCAGCGTTATTTTTCCTTTTCTTTTTCCCCTGCCATTTTCTTTTCCCTTATCTGTTGTTCAGGTTCCTAGGATAACCAGTGTATGGCCAAGGACGCCATTCCGACCACTTTTTTCTACCATACAAACAGCTTCTCTGCTCAGCTCTCATCCTTTTGAAGCAACCATATTTGGGGTAGCAGGGGCTATGTATTATCTGTGTGAGAGAGCTTTTACCAGCAGGTGGAAATCCTCAAAGGTTGGCCTCTTTCTGCTGGTTCTGGGAATTATTTTACTCTCTCTATCTCTTTGACAGTGATAGTTCAACTGCCGCACTCTGCAAGAATTAACAGCTTAGATGGGCACTTTGCTTCTGATCATTGATTCCAATCTTTTGTAGGATGCATAGATCACACCATGATCTCAATTGAGAGGAAAATAACTGAAAGGACAACAAACTCAAAATGCAGCATCAGATTAGAGGGACCTGTGAGTGTTTGTCTCTTCAAGTGACCTATTTGTACAGCAGGGGGAAGGCTGTCTCCCTCTCCGTGTGCAGGGGCACTCAGAGAGCCAGTGGGGTGCTTTCCTCCCAGGCCTCTCCACCATCAGAAGAGTGTTTGTTCCCACACTCAGCTCGCAGAGCAGCCTCCTGCCAGGCCAGGTAGCCACTAGGGACTCAACTGCCCACAGAGTTGTGTCATTGCCCGTTTCCTGCACACCCTGCTGCCAGCTCTGAAGAATACCCATAGCATGTGCCTCCCCTGAGCTCAGAGAATCTTTCTCTTCCCTAGCACCTTTCATAAAGCTGCATTGTGATGGTCAGGATGTTATATGGTTTTTATTTATGACAACCCACTTACTTCTCTGTAGAGAGAAATTTAAAGTTTTCTTTTTATTGCTATGGTTATTTTAAATATTTTAAATAATTCTGCATTTTATCATCGTTTTTGAGATTTTCATACAGAATAATTTTTTTTTTTTTTTGGTGAGGAAGATCAGTCCTGAGCTAACATCTGTGCTAATCCTCCTCTTTTTTTTTCCCCCAAAGCCCCAGTAGACAGTTGTATGTCATAGTTGCACATCCTTCTAGTTGCTGTAGGTGGGACGCGGCCTCAGCATGGCCAGAGAAGCGGTGCATCGGTGCGCGCCCGGGATCCGAACCCGGGCCGCCAGTAGCGGAGCGCGCGCACTTAACTGCTAAGCCACGGAGCCGGCCCAGAATAAATTTTTTAAAGAATAATTTCCAAACCTCAGTGAAATAAAAAGCCCTGAGACTGTACTGAAGCTTGCACTGCCCCCAGGGTGTAACGCGAGCTGCTGACCAGTATTTGCAGCAGCCTTGCCTGTTCCACCTCATACAGGGTCCTGGCTCTCCAAGGTCCTTTATTTACTAAATATACCCTTGACAAATGAACCAGTAGGTGGTCTCCTTGTTATTCTTTATTATCCATCTTGGTTTATAAAAGTGACTCTGAATGTAAATGAGATAGAGCAAATTCCTTTCTCTGTTTATTTGTCATGAAACACAGGATAAATCTCTGTTCTTTTTTCCCTTTTAGATCTGGCCATTTGAATAGTACATGGTCCCGTGCAGGGATGGCATTTTAACTCCTGTTACTCCTGCTATTACTAAAGATCTGCCAACATTTAATTTTTATTATCAATCCTCCCCAAACAGAGATATCTGTGTACTAAGTCCACACATTACTTTAGGCAACAAATTCACTTTGAGTTTTGAACTCAAAAAAAGAAAAGAGTGATTAAACTTAATAGTAGTTATTTTTATTTAAATCTGCCTTCCTTGGTTTGTTAAAAGCTCAAAAAACAATGATTGTTTTGGATAATTTCAATTATCTGCTACTTATGAATTTTTTGCTAATCAAGGACACTTTATAAAATATGACTATTCCCGTTTCTCTGTGTGGTTCAGTAACCAGATTATACATTATACTCTCGAATTTCTGTGCTGCCTAACTCTGACCCCTTTTGAATGGTAAATATAACCAGAATATTCCACAAGAACTCAGCAATTTTAGTGACATACGTAAAAGTAAGTTCTATAGGCACATCTATTCCTATAGCATATTGTAATCTTTATTAAAACTCTTTAAGATTTAGCTTCCCTTTCCTAAATTTGGAAGTCACATTGAAGCACAGAGGAGCAAGAGAATTAGAGTTGTGCTGATCTAGTCCTTAAAGTCCCCGTCTAGCCATGGAGATGAGCTCAGTGCTTGCTGTAGGAGGGACTGAGCCAGTGTGATGAGAGGAACGAGGCTCCTGCTCACAGCTAAAGCCCTGAATGCTCTCCACATTTGGGAGCATTAGTATCTCAGCAACATCTGTTAGGGTTTAATTTGGCTTTGGGGCTGTTGAATTAATATTTTTTGTCAATTAAAAAAATAACAAAAACTATTCTAGTAACTATTATTTTCTTTCATGTTGCATTAAAGTCTTGTTGTCCTTGGGAAAGCACCAGAATTAAAACATTAGCATTTGACCTGATGGAAAGTATTTTACTAAAGGGTAATCTACTTAAAACTTTCGAAAAGAACAAGAACACAAAAAAATCCACAATTTCTTATTATATCCTAGGAAGTACTAGATTTGCGTATGGTTCAAAGCAGTAAGTTGAAAGTATGCTTGACTAAGCCCTTTTGTGACCTAAGACTGAGGAGAGGAAGTACAAGCTGTCAGGTTCATTGTGTGTGCTAGCATACCCCCGGAAATAAAAAGGATTCCTGTCTACCGGAAGTATTTACCAGCCTAGGCAGCCTAGTTGTCAAGTTAAATTGGCACTGTTTGCCATCTTCCCAGCATGCACAACAACAAATCTCTCAGGTAGCAATTAGCTAGTTATTTGCTAGATTCATACATTATCTTGTTCCAAGTCAGCAATTTTGTCACGTAGTTAGCCTTCAGAAAATGTACCACAGTCATACTCATCCATGATGAATAAAAATGACCATAGGAAAACTTCTTATGAAATATGTTAAAAGCTGAGAAAAGCTATCATTCAGATGTGTGCAGCCAACAACCCTTACCTAGTGCACAGTTTTAATGGCCTAACCTTCATAGAAGCAGTGCATTGTTCCCATTTGACACTACACTCATTTCTCAGGGTGGAGCAAAACAGAGTAGATATTGGACATGCCAATTTAATCCTGTTATCTTTGAAAGCTTTTCCCATTGAAAGAGAAAATTATGTGGTGATTTTTTAAAAAGTATTTTAGACGTCTTAGAGCAAATGATATAATCTTTCTGAAAAACTATCCCTCCACCCTCCAGATACTAAGCTCTTCATCTTAAAAATCCAATTCCAGGATTCTTTTCCAAAACATTTTTAAGCAAATTTAACCTTCCTTAAGTTAGCCTGAACAGAGATGATTTTATATTGATTGTTAGTAAGAAGCAGTAGTTCTTCAAACTGCGTTTTTTTAGTAAATGCTAATGTTTGTCAAGTTTGCAACCTAGATTTGTTTTTGTTTTTCTCTGATTGAAAGACAGAACTGAATGTTAAAACTCCATAAACTGACTGCTTTCATGGTCATGTGCTTTCTCATCTGGCTTGTTTGATTTCAGAATGCCTGTGAGCAGCGCTATTGTGTGTGTGGGAGTGAATTACGATGTGTTTATACTGAGAACATTAAGTTTCAGTGTCACTACACCACAATGGCCCTTGTGAAGCCTGGCAGGGTGTGAATGCACAAGACCATTCTGTCTTTCTATTAGATCCACCAATCAAGTGCAGGGCCAGATGGGGAGCAGATGGGTATGAAGCTCTTTATTCAGTGGGATCAGTTACATCAACAACTGTCTCAGCTGTTTTTAGGGAAACCATTAACATAAGACAACCAACATAAATATTTATTGTAAAATTCTTCTAATTTTTTCTACATCTTTCCAATGCTGACTATGCATTCAGCAGTTGTTTAAAAGTAATAACAGAAATCTGGAGAACTGTGGGGCAGCCTGTAGAGATTGCCTTTTGGCTATAAACTGCACCAATAGGTACATGTTCCAGTTCTGCTCATACCATTAGGATCTTTCAAGGTGTGCTGATGTAACTTACCACTAAATAATGCTTCTCGGTATAAATCACTAACCACCTTCTTTTGGCTATTCTGGGTACCACAAACCAGTTTTAAAAACAGTACCAATGTTGTAGATTTGCTGTTTATCTACTAGATATAGTATACAACACAACACTAAGTAATGTCTTTGTGTAATCATAGGATAAAACTGACATAAATTTGGTTTAGAACAACAAAATTTTTTTCAAGATTTCAATGCATAGATTACATAGCTCAGCTTAATGGAATAGAAATACTTGAGGCAAAATATCCAAACAAATGTGAGAAACTTTCATTTATTAGAAATTTCAATAGTTACATGTTTCACATGGTCCCCAGAAGTTTTCTGCCAGCTGTTGTCTTAGTGTATTTAGAAATTATGTGGTCCCCAGAGTGAGCCAGCTCTGTTCCAGTGGTCACTGGGAAACCTCTTTTCTTCTCTGAAGCTACTAACCAGGGGTCTGATCTGAAGGACAATTTTGCAATGCCAGAAAAGGGGGGTGGGAGTTTCTTATTCATATGGAATTTTGAATTTCAGGAGGAATTCTGCTATCCAGTGGAATGCCTAGCTCTCACTGTGGAGGAAGTGATGCATATTCGACAGGTCCTGGTGAAGGCAGAGCTGGAAAAATACCAACAATATAAAGATGTCTACACCGCCCTGAAAAAAGGAAAGGTAGAGCTGTTTAAAGTTGATTGATCAGCAGGGTTAGAAGAATGGTCAGTCACAGGCATGGTCTCCCGAGGGAGCAGTCTGCTAGCCAGATGGTACAGGACTTGTAGGCGATTTTAGGAGGTAAGAGGCTTATTCTGTAGTAGACAATTCCTGTTCTGCTTTGCTCACAAAAGGGAGTGTTTTTGTTTCTCTCTTAGAATTCAAAAACTGGAAGGTTTAAAACAACCATGATAAATAATGATATGCCTTCATAAAACCATGTATGTATTTAGTCATTATACTTTTAAAGGATTTGTAAAGAAAATATATCTGAGAAACAGAGGAGACTTTTTCAGAACCTTCTTCAGATTGCTTCCATGATGGTGAGACTCTTGAGAGCTGTGACCTTTTATTACCTTTTAAAAGTAAAATTATGCTAAGTGTAATAAGTCAGACAGAGAAAGCCAAATACCGTATGAGTTCACTCATGTAGAAGATAAAAATAAATAAAATAAAATAATATACAACAACAAACAAACACATAGACACAGAGATTAGATCAGTGGTTAGCAGAGGGGAAGAGTGGAGAGGGGAGGGTGAAGGGGTAAGGGGGCACATGTGTACAGTGACAGATGGCAATTACTTTTTTTTTCTACTTTGGGTGGTGAACATGATGTAGTCTACACATAAATCAAAATATAATGATGTATACCTGAAATTTATGTTATAAACTAATGTCACCTCAATAAAAGTAAATAAATAAATAAAATTATAATTAAATACAGAGCCAAATTATAATTATTCAGAGCCAAACATAAAAACAGGGTTTCTAAATTGCCTTCTTCCTTCTGTCTACTAAACTTCCCCAATATATAAATGTCAAGTGTATTCAAACATGTAAATTAGGAAATTAACTACTGGCGATGCTTTTTTTCTCCTTTTAAATTTGTGTTTTTTAGCTTTGCTTTTGTTGCCGAACTAGGAGATTTTCCTTCTTCACCTGGTCTTATACCTGTCAGTTCTGTAAGAGGTAAGGTTTTTTGTAATTGATGACAATAGTTAAAGAAATACTGGTTACCTTCATTGTTTCATCACTTTTCTACACAGGAATAATACTAGAAATGACCCAATCTGTTATCACATTGTGCTGTGCTTGTAGGTTAGGAATACTGATTTCTTCAAAAGAGTGGAGCAAACAAATATTAAACCTGGAAAATGTTTCTCTGCATGTATTTGTTTTACATAACCTAGATAATTCTAATAATAATATATCATGTTTGAACAGAAAAAAATAGATGTGATTATCATGTGATCCCTGGAAGGACAAATAAGAAAATTCCAAACAGATGTAACTTGATCCTTTTATAGGAAACAGTGTAAGAGTTAGGTTTTACAGATTGATTGTCTTTTTGGCAATCCACAGTTGTATCAGTTTGTTATATTCTGATAGAAGAACCAGAGAGTTTTTGCAGTTTATTGTAGAAATTCACAACCAGGTAGCCATTGGCTTCTCTAACTCTCCAGTCGCATCCATGGTATCATGCCAAGTAATACTTCTGATTTTGTATACAGGCCGGTGTGCTCACAGTGTTGCAAAAAGGTAAGCTAAGCTTGGTGAAATTATAACTTGTGTTAATTTCAATGACTCTGCCTCTTTAACAGTACTGCTCATTCTCAGTTTTATTTGGGTTAATAGATGCGGCTGCCCTCCAAGCCATACTCCACTCTTCCTATCTTTTCATTGGGACCTTCTGCCTTGCAAAGAGGGGAAAGTTGTATGAGGCCAGAAAAACCCTCCACTGGCCACCATCGGCCACTTCGGAGCATTGCCAGGTGAGCGAGGGGCATTACAGAACATAACTTCGTAAAAGAAGAATGCTCCTTATTCTTGAGGACTGTGGTGACGTGGTAGGGTTTTGAGTCAAGGGAATTTGGGTTGATTGGTGAGTTGGTTGGTTGTAATATAGTTATGACTTGCACATGAATCTCCAAAACTTCCCAAAGGTAACTTGTCAAGGGATAATGGTGAGCTACTTGAAGGATACCCTTAATCTCATAGGTTTTTTTTTCTACTTTAAAAATAATTACTTTCGTATCCTTTGAAAGTCATCTTTAAAACTGTCCTTCTTTTCAATGGAGTTGAAAACTTGCACGTAACAGTCTAATCTTTCTTCTTTAATTTTGAAAGAAAATCTGTTTAATTTTGTGTTTACAACAGTCTGCAATAACTTGGGCTTCCTTTCCTATTGTAAAGACAGAAATAAAGCTTTATGCCAAGAGCTGGTAATTTAAAAGAAAAAAAAAGTTGCCTGAATATCAATCCCTTTGCATTTAATACAGAGTAGGGTTAGTGTTGGTCCTTAAGAAAGATGGAAGGAGGTCAGGCCAGCACGGTCACACACTGACAAGGCGGAGATGGTTATGGTTTGACGCACCAGCCACCCACTGGGTGCGGAGACACTGGCATTCATGTTAAATGCTGGACAATGGCTACTCCTGCATGTCATGTGTCTGCGGACTGTGAGGCAAGGAAGCTGTGAGCCCAGCAAGTAACTTGTGCCTAAGACTGCTGCCCCTGTGCTTTCGACTCTCTGCTCTGAGACACTATTGTTCCATGCTGGCCTCTGATTGTGGAATGTCATCGTGGGCTCAAGGCAGTGCAAATAATAAACTGTTGTTCTTTTCTGTACTTACTCTGAACCTACGTTCCTATTTGGTTTAATTAAAATAGTAAATGTTTCCTAGTTATTTCAGAAAATTACCCAAAAACATTTATTATGATGGTCTAATTAATTCCAGCTCTCTGGAATCCCATCAGTCACCCAAACAGAGAGAATTGTTGGGGAGGGGGAAGCATATTTGATAAATACAAAAATGACAAGAAAGCTGGCCCAAAGATAATTTTTCAGGATGTGTCATAGGATTAAAATAAATTTACTTCCGTTTCCTATAGTCTGATCTACCATCTACAGTTAACTAATGTTCATTAACCATGACAGGGAGTCACTGGAGAAAGAACTTGAAGTCCCTTCTGAATCAGTAGGATGTTAGCAACATGTACTTTATTTCACTTTAGTTATGAAAGTTCACAATCTGTATGTGTATGGTAATCAGGTGAATACTCTGAAAATCCTATTTTCCAAAAATTCTTGAAGAGATGCTAAGAGTTTCCAGTATTATTTCTTAATAAAACATGTTTCCTGGTTTTTTAAAAAAAAAAAGTATTTTGAACCTTGTCTCCATGTAGGAATTCTTCTTTGGAGGAACATGACATGACTAAATCATACCCATCCCATAATATTTTGACAACAAATCAATTTTTTTGCACATAATTTCTTAGTATTGCAGTAGAATTATAAGTAAACAATACTGGATGTTTTAAACATTTTGGTTTTTTCCAGGTTCTCAAAATCTAAGTCTGTGGACAAATCAGATGAAGAACTACAATTTCCTAAAGAGTTAATGGAGGACTGGAGTACCATGGAGGTGTGTGTAGACTGCAAAAAGTTTATTTCGGAAATCATCAGTTCAAGCCGGCGTAGCCTGGTGTTGGCCAACAAAAGAGCCCGATTAAAAAGGAAAACACAGTCTTTCTATATGTCCTCACCAGGCCCCTCGGAATACTGCCCTTCGGAAAGGACTATCAATGAAATCTGAGCCTTGTGCCTTTCAGTTGCTTTTGTGTTCAGAGTCGGCATTAGCGGGAGAGAACACTGAGCTGGACTGTCTCTCCTTGCCGTGGTTTTATTTAATCAGCTTGAATTTGCATTAGATCAGGGTTTTGCTGCATCACATTGTTCCACAGACTGAATGCTGTGTTCATATCGATTGATGATATGTGACAGGTCAGCCAATTGCTCATTTGCACTGAGAGGACAATAGTTTGAAATCTGCTTTTGTGTGTGTGTGGATTTGGAGGCCAGAAACTTTTTCCTTAGTTCAGTTCCTTACTGTTCCTCAAATAATTTTCTGACTAAGGCAAAAAGCTTCTCATGTGAGAAATCAGCCTAACACAGGTGTCGATGTTAGCACAGTTCTACGCAGTAAGTCATATTGGCACTTCCACCTGACAGTGTTCCTATCTAATGTACATAGTGATCCAGAGCCCTGCCACACACCAGATGCCTGGAGGCGGGGCAGGTGATTTACCATCTCATAGCACAAAACCCAGAAGAATTTGCTCATACTATCAAACTGATTTTAAATTATTGTTGCTCTGAGATAAAGACTACAGGAGGGACTCGATGCCTGCATTCTAGTGCAGAACATCTGAATAAGCTGTACACCCACATGGGAGACCACTTCCTCTGAGCTGCTGTGTTTGCCCTGGTGTAATGGATCCCTCTTCTGAGCGGGTGACAGATTTTCATTCCCTATCTTGAATGTATTATGGTTACTTGTAGTTTTATAATGGAGGTCTAAGAATTAAAGTTTTGTCGGGGTTGCGGGACAGAGGAAAGACAAAAGTTTGTCAAGAAGTTGAGTGTATTTTGGTTAACTATGGAAAGGGTTGTGACAGAATAGGGTGCCAGCTACTGCGCCACACTGCAAGGAATAAGCCAGAGCTCATCTATTTTCAACTACGTTTTTCATAACTTTATAGTCTAGCCATCACAACTAAATTGAGCCACAAATTGGTACCTAAGGTCTCAAACTGGAATTTATTTATTTTTATAAATGAATTTTAAAAGAAGAACATTGTCTAGTTCTTTTAAAATTACAAGAATATTAACCTGCTGATAGGCTTTTTGGATGCTTTTTGCACAAATTTTCCTTGTAAATGACTTGAGTGAGTAGGATGGGTTTTTGATGAAGGTAGGTTGGAGGGTAGCACTGCACACCTGAAATTTCTCAGCTTGATTAGTCCATACCATGGGCTATACTTGATTATTTTGGTATGCTTAGAAATGACCAGCCAATCAAATTGCTATTAATGTTTGGAAAATCAGTTAATACACGTGCACAATAATTTCCTAAAAGCTACAGGACACATCTGTAGTCAACACTATGACAGCACCATTTAATAAAAGGCATGGCAGTCACATTTTTTACACATCAAAGTATAGTAACATTTCTATATTAGATTAACAGTAATACCTCGAAACTGCTCTGGAAGTAGTTTTTAATGGATTGAAATTTCCAATTTAGTAAATGGCTTAAAATTACTTATACTTATGAAATAAACTTCACCAGTTGACTAAAATAATGCATGTTAACAGTTCATCTGTATTTGCATGTTAAGTGGACCACCAGAGAACCCTTATTAATTATGCAAATGTTTAAATTATTTTAAACACTCAAGAGCTTTAAACATTACATGGGGCGAATCTCATTTATAATATTTTCCAAAGGACTATTTGAACTCTATACCCAGATGGTTCGGTGGGAGCCACACCCTTGAAGGCCCCAGGCTTGAGCCTCGAAACGGCTACCAGAAAGGGTGCGAGGGAGAGGGAATGGTAGTTGTTTTGTGTATATAGACATGACCTAAGACAGTGTGCTTTTTAAAAGAATGACTAGTTTACTGTTGTTATTAAAACATAAGAAACTAAACCCCCAAAATGAGAATTTCATCCACATTCACAAGGCAAATATCTAGCACATCTCAATCTTTGACTTCACTTCTTCAGGTTTATGATACAGTATAGGCTGATTTGGGCATTATGATCACTTCTCACCAGAGCATTAGAATGTATAGCCTTCAACAGCATTAACAAGGTTTGCCAAGTGCATTAAAAAAGTCAAATGGATGGTATGTCTACCTGAGACAGTTTGCCGAAAGTAGTGTAAGAAAAGGGCACATGGCACAGTTAAAATTGTAGCAATCAAATTAGCATCACTTTTTCGTGCCAAAACAATTTCTTGCATTTAACCCTCCCTTATCTATGACATGTACCCAACACCTCAACTGAATTAGAGAATTTCCAGAGAGTAATTCACTAACAGCTTGTGGAGTGAGTTTTACAATTCTTAGCCTAGTCTGACCTTAGGCCTATCTTCCTCCTCTTACTACTAAAATAACACACCTTTGTAGTGTTCCTCTTTGTCCTGGTTTCCAGCTATTCTGCATTTACTTCTGATCCAAGAACAACAAAAATGTTGGCTGGCTGGTCTCGGTGGGAGCCTGATGTGTCTTAGAGCTCATGTGCACACCTGAGCAGTCTTCCCTACGCACATCCCCTAACTCTCACCTAACTCCCTCCAGGCTCAGCACCTGTTCCCTTTGTCCGATACCTCACGAACTCACCCTGTTGGGATATCTTTGTTTCCTTTCCCATGGCTTACTTTCTGTCAGTGACAGTAGATAAGAATGCTTGTAAATACTGTAATATATTTATTAATATTGGAAAGGCATTCATTCAGTGGACAATGGGAATTAACTCTCCCAAGGCAAATAAAAATTAAATCAAGTAATTGATACATACATTGACTTAACAGTCTTACTAGAGTCCAGGTCTTAAGCCTTTCAAATTAAACTAGAAAGTTGTTATGTAGGAGTTTTAAAAATGATCTTACATTTGAAGCGATTATGTGATTAGCATCGTGAACTGATACCATGAATTTTTTAAGGCTTTTATTTTTCTAACTGTATTAATAAATATGGGACTGGATTTTAGGTGTCACATAGGAGATATGAAAGTTTTAAATTATGTTGCTATTTGCTAAAGCAAAATGGCAGAAAATTTTTTACATGCAAAACTGTTGAAGGGCCGTGGAGAAATGTATATACTGACTGGACTTTGACATGGCTTCCTGTGTGTATAAAAATCAAGGTATTGCTGGCATTCAGGGTGACATGACGGTACTAAATGTTTTCCATTAAAGTCTTTTATTTTAAAATTTATCTAGAGAAAAATAAAATGGCTTTCCATCATACCTTCTGTGTTGAGTTCCTATTGTAAAATGGTGATGTCTCTTGGTAACTAGCTGTCAGAAAGCACCTAGGCTGGGCAGGCAAGATACTTTTTATCGTCAGCAGCTTACGATCAGTTTGAGAAATACAGTCTAACAAGGACCATACTGAGAAAATAAATAAAAATGGAGCCACCGCCATAACTCTGCTGTCTTACCAAGCAGCCGTGACTCCTTTTTCACCTCAACAAGGTAGAAAATCCAAATTCTATAAATAGTAAATAACATTTATATAAGAAGTCACATATATGGAGACAAATTGTGTATAGAAAGATAAAGCTTTTATGTATTTTTTCTAAATAGAATTCTTCAAGGGATATATTCCCAAAATGTCTCATGATAAGAAAATTACTTGTTGTACTTAAATTTCTTGAGAAAAAATTAGGAAGATTAAACCTAGACTGAACTTAGGAAAGTTCTTATGTTAACTAAATAGCATCATCTGAGATATTTACATATCTTAAATATTACATAATATTGAGTTTGATATTAATTCATTTACATAAGCTAGTCCCTTATTTGCCAGACATATTTTAGGATCTCCTTCCACTGAAGTTTCTCTGTGAGATGTGTATAACTAGACATTTTTGTGTGTGTCTAGCTCATAATCCAAATGTTCAACTGACTTTCTCAGTCTAAGTTAGAGTCCTTGCCTCATGCTTCCTGGATTCTAGAGATAAGACAATTCAGATACCATAAAGGGGAAAGCTTTGGGTAATTCTTATTTAACTATATCATCTTTTTCCTTCCCAGCTCCCGTGGAGGAAAAGATATATAGTTAGCTGTAAATCATTTCTAGAATTCCATAAAGAGAACTACTTTTAGGAAAGGGCTTGATTGCACATATGATGTGTTTAAAGACTCCAGTTCTGCTATCTCTGCAGAATGTGCAGGCACACACACACACACACAAATATTCATTATAATGCTCCTCCTTTTCCTCTTGTCAGCCAAAGGTCCATGTCTAGAAACATCTCCCTTTGCCCACCCAAAAAAGTTTAAGAGCTAAGAACCTACTTTTTCCTACCCTAATTAAACATTCAGGTGCAATTTCCTGGCAGATTGAATTTGCACTATTATTCTGGCTCATTCCATTAAAATGTATATGATATATAATTTATGTATTTAGAATAAATCTTACTCTGCAAAAAATTCTGCAGCTCTGTCTTTGCTGTTGGATTTTTATGCTGGTGGCAGAATCTGAGTCACTACAACAGTATTGAAGCATTGGAAATAAAAGGTCTTCAGAACTGACATGACACAGCTCTTGAAAAGTGGGCCCTTGAAAAATGGAGCATCAAGAAGTTCCTTTATGTCCCTGGGGCTTAAGAGCTAAAGAATCATGTGGATGTTTGAACCTATGCCAAGTTTGACACAACTTAGTGTTCAGATTTCTTTTGCCGCCTAGAAGGCCAGACGGGGTTGTGTGCTAGGAATGCTCTTGCAAGCTGCTCTAATAAATCTGATCATCTGTGAATTGAAGAAAAAGGAGAGCTCCCTTCTCTCAGGTGTGGCTAGCAAGGAGGGGCAGCCTTGAGCAAGCTTGCCCTTCTATATATTCATCTTTGCCTTGGAGTTCCCTTGTCACTGCAAGAATCATCTGTTGTTTCCTGACCTACCTACCCCCCCAGTCCCTTTCCCTAGAGTGACACAGCAGAGAAGGTCACATCCCAACTCCTCCCAGGAGCAACAGTGTTTCAGAGAGTGGAAATGCCAAAGAGGGATTGAGGATTTCTGTAGAGCTGACCTGAATATCAAGTTGCTAAGCAAACAGTATAAAAGCTATAGGAAAGCCTGTGGGAGAAAGAGAAGGAACAGCACGATTCTGCACAGGTAAATCTTCTGAACAAGGCAGCCACTGTGGTATACAACCTAAACATGTAAACAGAAGACAGAATAAGTTCTACTTTTAAAGGGAAGAAACTTTGATCTTAGACATCCCAAAGAGAAAAGAAGCCTAAGATTTCAGCTTGCCCGCCAAGGAAGGGACCATGACAAGATAAAAAGCCCCTCAGGTCATCCTACCACAATCTTAAGGTCATGTCAGAAGTGAGATCCACAGAATATAAGCTTGGACTAAGCACTGTGGGTGTAAACAGCTGGACACTCCCACCTCCAAGTGACTCCTCTGACAGCCTACAATAGTCCTCCAGGTGTAGCCAGTGGCAGACACACCTTCATAGTAAACTGGATGTCACTCTGTTCCAAAATGGTGTTCACTAGCAAAATGGTGTTCACTAGCAAAATGGTGTTCACTAGCAAAATGGTGTTCACTAGCAAAAAGGACTTTTTAGGACCCGAGAGCTTTCATCCTGACAACTGAAAAAACACCGTCTGTAATTAGCGAAGCAGATTCTTTCAGCAACACCCGGTTTCCAGTATCTGAAATGGTTCTAACTAAACTAGGCTTCAGCTTGGCAGCAAAACAGCTGTCTGACGTTGGGAAAGTTCCTTAACATTTATGGACTTCAAGTTCTTCAATTTTAAAACAAGGGTATTGGTCAAAGTGGTCTCTTAGGTCACTTTTAACCAGAAGAGAGAGAGAACACACTCGATCAAACAACCAGTATTACACAGACCAGTAAATAACTGAGAACTTGAGTCAAATGTAATGAGAAATTAAGAAAATCTTTGTGCATCCAAGCCAGCCCTTTTACTGAGGTGAAAGTGAAATGACTGATACTTTTTCTAAATTATTTCTCTGTGTGGATGACAAACCTGCTTATGTATGTTACATGAATGCAAGAAAAAGTGCAAAATATGCTGCATTTTTTTTTTTTTCCGAGGAAGATCAGCCCTGAGCTAACATCCATGCTAATCCTCCTCTTTTTGCTGAGGAAGACCGGCTCTGAGCTAACATCTATTGCCAATCTCCTCCACTTTATATGGGATGCCACTACAGCATGGCCTGACAAGCGGTGCATCTGTGTACAACCGGGATCCGAACCCAGGCCGCCAGCAGCGGAGTGCACGCACTTAACCGCTAAGCCACGGGGCCGGCCCTGCTGCATTTATTTTAAACGTGGGGAGGCAAATTCAGCTTTACTAATTGCTATAAAGAACCTGAGTCCTTCTCCCAAAATTAAAAAGAAAAACGGCAGAAAGATGAGTTGACATATATTAAAAACAGACAGAAAACAAACCCCTTTGCACCAGCTGTTTGGCATCAG